TTTTCAGCCCTTAAGACCCTGTGGCAAGAGATTGACCATTTGGAGACCTTTGCTTGGGAAACCACCAAGGATGCAGCTACCTATCAGAGACATTTAGAGAAGTATAAGGTGTTTGAACTCCTTGCTGGCCTTAACCCTGAGTATGATATTGCACGACAGCATCTTCTTTCCAGGGATAGTGTCACTCTCCCAAGCATATGCTTTTGTTTCAGGGGAGGAGTGCAGGAGGAATGTGATGATGAAAACCCAAACTTCTGATTAGTCTGCCACGGTAAGTGTTGTGAAACCTAAACAAAGTGGTGGTGAAATCAAAAAGGAAGACAAAAGAGACTTGGTTTGTGACTACTGTAAGAAGCCTAAACATACAAGAGATACTTGCTGGAAGCTTCACCCACATCTCATGCCGACTAGATTGAAAAATAAGAAGGGAAATGCGCACATGGCAGTTACTGGTGACACTCCGGCCCCTCCTACTACAGCTGCTTTGGAGTCTGTTGCAGCTGCTGCAGTAAGGGCCGAACTTGAGAGGTATGGGCTACTTCTGAACCAGCGGAATACAGCTAGTTCCAGTTCAGCCACAAGCAGACAACAAGGTAGAGGTGGCACTAGTGGAGCTCACTCTACCTCCTTTGCTCACGCAGGTAGTTCACATGTCACTGCAAATTATGTTTCCACTTCAGGTAAGGAAGGACCTCCTTGGATTATAGATTTTGGAGCCTCAGAGCACATGACTCATAGCTCCACTATTTTTTCCTCTTACCAGCTCTGTTCTGGCAGAGATAGGGTCTCCACAGCTGATGGATCCCATGTTCCTATTGCTAGGAAGGGATCTGTCAAGATTAATGATTCTATTTGTTTACCCTCTGTCCTTCATGTTCCCAGATTGAGCACTAATTTGTTATCTGTTAGTAGTTTGACTAAGAATTTGAACTGCTCAGTAATTTTTTCTCCTGGACATTGTATTTTGCAGGATCTGGATTCAAAGAGGACGATTGGGAGTGGTCGTGAAGTGAATGGAATCTACCTCCTGGATGTTCTTCCCCCTCACCAAAGTCATCATGTTAGCAGGGATAGTGAGTTGGGATCTGTGAGTCAGATTATGCTTTGGCATAATCGTTTGGGTCATTTATTTTTTTCTTCTTTGAATTCTTTGTTTCCAAAACTTTTTGAATTTGTTAGTCTGTCAAGTCTGGAGTGTGAAGGTTGTCAACTTGGAAAGCATTGTAGACATTCTTTTGAACCTAGTAATAAAAGATGTTCTTCTTCTTTTGATGTTATTCATTCGGATGTGTGGGGCCCTTACCCTGTTCCTTCTATGGAAGGTTATCGCTATTTTCTCCTATTTGTGGATGATTTCTCTCGATACTCTTGGATTTACCTAATGAAATCCCGCGATGAAGTACCATCTTTGGTGAGGCAATTTCATCAGATGGTACTAACACAGTTTGGAACAAGAATAAAGGTGTTCAGATCTGACAATGCCAAGGAATATTTTGAAAGACATCTTGCCTCGTATTTGTTAGAATATGGTGTTGTCCATCAGAGCAGTTGCTCCTACAGTCCACAACAGAATGGTGTTGCAGAAAGGAAGAACAGACACATTGTTGAGACTACAAGAAGCATGATGATCACATCTACAGTTCCGATTCGGTTTTGGGGTGATGCAGTTCTCACAGCAGTATATCTGATTAACAGGGTGCCTTCTCGTATACTTGGAATCAGCACTCCATTCAGCTTTCTTTTTCCTCATGGGGAGATGTTTCATATTCCTCTCAGGGTGTTTGAGTGTGTCTACTTTGCACACATCCTTGGTCCTCACCGCTCGAAGCTTGACCCCAAGGCAAAGAAGTGTATCTTCCTTGGATATGCAGAGAATCAGAAAGGGTACTGCTGCTATGATCCAATCTCTGGGAACCGATATGTTACCATGGATGTCACCTTTTTTGAATCCACATACTTCTTCTCACAAAATCCTTCTCAAGGGGAGTGTTTTGGGGAAGTAAGTCAGCAATCTATCCCTCTCCCAGTTCCAGCCCCTGTGTCACCTCCTATGCTTAACCACCACCCGGTGGCACCTACCTTGCCACCTCCTTTGCGTTCTGTTTATCAACATTACTCACGACAGAGACTTCACAAGGCGGTTGATTCCACTACATCAGAACTCACACCACTTCCTGTCGATCCCTTGGAGACTCCAGATTCGGCTGATATGGATTCAGGTATTCCTCTTGATCCCGCCACTATTTCAGTTCCCATTGATCCTACTAACTCTGTTACAGATAACCTTGATCTCCCTATTGCTCTTAGAAAATGGAAGAAAAAGTGTACTACTCATTGTATTTCACAGTACTTATCCTACAGTGGACTTTCTCCTTCCTAYYGTGCTTTTCTCTCTTCTCTTGATTCAGTGTCTATACCCAAGGGTGTTAGTGAGGCTCTCTCCAAACCTGAGTGAAAGACAGCTATGCAGGAAGAGATGGAAGCTTTGATTAAGAATCAGACATGGGACATTGTGGA